ATGTGTAAAAAACACCTTTAACTTGTAATTTACTGAAGACTCCATCATACATAAAAATAAAGATGTAACAGCATGCCATAATTTGTATGTTTGTATGTCATCGATTTAAAAGCTGTAAAGTGTTGTTTACAGAATAGAATGGATAGTTTAATACAATTATGTAAGCAGAGATGAGCCCTGGCCATATTCTCTCCTATTTACTTTTATTTACCAAATGCTGCTATATGTCTTCATCAGTCGAGGGTCACTGCCATGGATTGCAATTCAGAGACAAAACAAAACCTCTTAGAAAATGTTGGAATGACCTTGCCGACAACATTCATTTGATGCATTTAGAATAATGAATTGTATTAGAAATGGAGAAAAATTTTCTTGTGAATAGAGCTAGACCGCAGGCTATTACATCTGACAAGTTTTTCCTTTCACAACGAGAATGGTGTGTGTTCAATATGTCCTCTAATTTTCTCTCCTGCCTCTCCGCTTCCATTTTTCATTTGCAAACCCTGCTTTACATCTGCTTGTGTCTATGTGGCTCTTACAACTGAGGACGTATCGCACTGGTTGTAAATCAGACACCTAGCAACTTCTCGTCCTTTGGATTTACATAAAATGGAAATTTGTCTTCATCATCGGCGTACTCTACAAGTCACATTCAGACAAACAGAACAAATGTGAATAATAAATATGTTGTATATGTCTACAAGTGGGGAAGGGGGGCTGTTATATGACATTACCTCTGTATCTGGATTTGAATCCCATTTGTTGCACAGACACTGGATCTTTATGTTTGTTTTATTTCTTTATTTTTATTTAATACAGTGACTTATTCAGACAGGTGAATTTGAAAAGCTTTGATAGACCAATCATACATTTAAACACTGAGGTCTGTCTCACAGTGCAATACAATATTCATGTGCTTATGGCAGAGGTGGGACCAAGTCGTTGTTTTGCAAGTCTCAAGTAAGTCTCCCAAGTCCCAAGTCAAATACAAGCAAGTCCAAGTCGGGTCTCGAGTCATTGGCCCATAAGTCCAAGTCAAGTCCAAGTCATCTGCTTTGAGCTTCAAGTCATTTTGAGTCTTTAAACCAAAATACCAAATATAGCTTAGATTTTTGTAATGTATATGAATTTTAAGATAAATTGTACTTAAAAAATCATAGTATAGTTATATATGAGTATTTATAGAGTATATAAGAGTTGTATAAATGATCATTTATCCTTTTTAAATGTCTTGACAAGATCTTAGTGTGAATCATTATGGTCAGAATGGAAAGAATTTAGGTTTAAAAGTGCTTCTCAAGTTTTCTCAAGCCACAGGTCTCAAGTCCAAGTTGAGTTCCAAGTCTTAGTCCATTTTATCAAGTCAAGTCTCAAGTCCCCACCTCTGGCTTATGGTGGTAGAATCACACTAAAAGTACTGCCTATGATCATTTTGGGCAATACAGCAGGAGGTCTGGGTGCCCACAAAAATTATATAATATGATATTTGCACTCCCCTGAAGTAATACATCACTAATATTATTCTAGTGCTTCGAGGAGTGAAATAAGTAGTTTGATGCATATTCACTATGGCACTGACAGCCCTACATGAGTTGACAAAACCCTATTGATATATTTCTATACTATTTCTTCTTATAGGTGTTGAAGCATGTATAATAAAGTGCCAGAGTAAGCTCTTTGACAAACTGATTTAAATAATAACATTATCCTTTTTCTGAAAACACATTCTTCCTTACACAGCCTCAAGGTCAAAGCCATATACGTTTTAGGCTGTTAGTAGCGCTAGCTGTGAGACCCGCTACAGAGGCACAAAGTAATTCAACCTCAAGTAGCTTGTCAGCAGAAAGCACTCAACAATAATAATACTTTACACTAGTGTCAATTTGGCTCTGTGACTTAACTGTGCTGACACTGTGTTCATGGCACTTTTATTATTTAGCCGTGTAGCGCTTGGGAGGCTATACATATTTCATGACTTGATATATAGATGTTGTTTTATGGAGATAATAACAGTGTAGTGTGCCTGCTGATGATCCATATGCAAGGTTACGGCTGCTCGTGAGTGTGCCCCCAGAGCAGATTTATTGATATGGAACAGGGCATTGCATCTTTTTTAAGAGACTCAGCATCATCACAGGAGAACACACACAAATACAACCACACACACATACACAAGACAGAACTGTATATACTACATACATTTGTGCCTACAGTCATGCCCATGTGTTGCTGTAGAGTAGACCACAATATTGTATGACTTTTTCCTGCCACAGATGATATTTTGAAGATTTTTTGTCATTTAAAATATGAATAATTTTGTTTTGAATCCATTATCCTTGAAATCCATTAATACAACTTTTTAAAACTGTAACAAACAACTCCTCCTACACTTATTATTCCAAGCAAATTTACATATGATGATGATTATTTATTTTTTAGCCTTGAAGTTACAAAGTATATGTTGTAATAGTACAGTATAATAAGATATAAGCTGTTGGAATATGTGGTTAAATGAGCTGTTCATTAGCTGTAATTGCATAGTCCTTGATAGCATTGTGCTTGGAAACCTGGTCTAGTCTATGCTGACCTGTACATTACTGCTTTCGATACTATTTATGTGCTTAATTATAGTTTGCATATTGTGTTTTTTTTTGTTTTTTTTGTTTGTTTGTTTTTTGTGGTTGGTGATTTTATTTGTATTTCATCTCATTATTTGTATTTTCATCTCATAAACTTTTTGCTGAACTGTTTATGTGAAAAGTAATAAAAAAATAAATAATTATATATATATGTCCGCCTATGGCCTAAGCTGGGGGTATATATCTGCATAAATCCACCTAATGAAAACAAAATCTGTAGTTCAAATGTGGAGGAGGCACAAAGTTTTGACACCAGACAATTCTTATTCAGTCTTTCACAGAGACCCTTACTATTCAATGCATTTTAATAGAATAGAGATAAGTCACAAAAATAATAAAGTCTAGGCTCTAGATCAACAATGATTTTCAAGCCACTGAAGTTGCATCGTCTTGATTCAAAATAACATCAGGATATGATATTAAAGCAGATCTACAGTATTATTGACTTCTCAGAGCTTTTAACCATGCTATAGTTGTTTTCCTTCTCATTTACCCCCTGAAGTTATATTTGGAGTGATTCGTGCACATTTGAGCAATCTTTAACCACAGGCAGAATTCAGCAGCGTCATGTAGTCATTTTGGTACAAATGAAAATAGATCTGGTACTCTCTTTTGTGACCTGTAGCTATCCATCAGAGGTGCCGACTCTTTGTTGTGATGATGTTTACGGCAACTTCTGCTGCCATTGGGCACAGCAGTTTTCTAATGCAGAAGTCAGTGGATTTGTTTCTTTTATTAAATCATCTTAGATGAATATTGCAATTTAAAATGTCCAAATTATAATATAATAATCCATGGATGTTGCAGATTATAACTATACAGCAGGCTCAAGTACAATATGTGTTCATTAAAACATGCATACAACTGTTAACGTTTATTTTATTAAATAGATATAAACTCATTCTCTGCATTTGACTATCCCAAAATGCTGCTGGGGCTACACATCAGGAGCAGTGAATGGCAGGCATTTGGTGCTCAGGGACCCACCTGCGGATCTTGAGCTAGTCTTGGTCAGGACTACCTTATAAAAGGATTTAATCTTTGGTGCATAAAAACAGAAACAAAACACATGTTATCACTGAAATTGTTGCCTGTAAGTCTGTATAATGTATGACTCTAAAAATAAAAAGCCGTCCATGGGTATGGTATTTTTCTCTAAAGAAGACATCCTCTGTTTTAACACATTACATTGTGTTGCAAAAGTGAATTGAATGCTTTAGATTAATAAAGCTGTATTTGATGTATGGTGGTTCTTGTCTTCTTTGGGGATAAATTGCCAAACACAGCAGGGAGAATATTTCATCCGCTTTGGAAATGCTGCTGAATGCAAAAATGTCTGCCAAGCTGCCAACCCACATTTGTAACGTTGGATTTTATTTACCTGAGTGATCACGGGGCTTTCCATTCACCTCTGTGGCTCTGCTCCTCTCCATCTTTCCCTCTGCCATCCTCACTCATATCGCTCAATTGTCTCTTTAGTCCATTGCACCCCATCCACCTGAAAAATCTCATCTTCTCTTCCCTTTCCGAACCGTTCACGCCATTTAGATGCATCTCGAGGCATTTATCATATCTATTTCCCCATCATTTTTCCTGTTAAATTCCTTGCCATATCTGTCCTATCCCATCTGTCATTCCACTATTTTAATCATAACATGTCCGCATGCCTGTCGTCTGTCAGAGTCTATTTCGCCTCTTGCTCCGCCATCTTGGATTCACAGTCATGTACCAATGACATGTTTACCTATTAATTGTATTAGTTGTAAGTATTTATTTTATTTTATTTTTTTCTCTCTCTACAAATTATTTAAGTTTACTTGTATTATCACATATCATTATAATGATGAAAAGGATACTATTAAGTTGAAAATATTTTGTGTTTAAAGCAACATTCTGTAACTTTCTGGAGGTCACCTTCATAATTCCATGTAAAAAAAATACATTCTCCACAGGGAAAGAAGGTTTTATGCCATGGGATACTAAAGAACAACAGTTCCATGGGGGATTATTTGGGGTCATTTTTGAGATGTAAGCCTGCTCATAGTAATGTTTTTCAGTGTTTTTCAGTACAGTAAAATCATCCAAAATGAAAAATAAATAGATAGATAAAATAAAACACGCTTTTATATTCTGGACTTAAAAGTTAAGAAGTAGATCTTAAAAGTTCTGTGAGCGTTTTCCATCAGCTTGGTGGTATTAATCATGCAAAACACTGTTTATCTTTTCTTTTAGATATTCTCATCTAAACAATTTGAGATGTGCTGTTTTAAAATACTACACATGAACAGTTCTGGTTGACTATTTAGTGTTTTGGCTGGTCCATAATCCCATATTTCCTGTGTGCTTATGTCTCCCCTTCAGCCAGCATCGTTCGGAAGAGGCAGTGGTGTGAGATGGTGCCGTGTTTGGAGGACGAGGGTTGTGACCTGTTAGTCAATAAATCTGGCTGGACTTGTACACAGCCCGGAGGAAGAGTCAAAACCACCACGGTGAGTCCACCATCCTTTAATCTCTACTGCAGGCTCCAATAGAACCACAAGTGAACCATCAGAGGCCAGGCTATTATAACAGGGCACTGATCAGCAAAATAAAGCATCTACGAGTGTGGGAAGAGTAGTTTGGTAGTACTTAAAAAGAGTTCAACAGTTCCTCTTAAATAGAAAGGTGAAATGACTTCACTTGGTCAATTTTCATAGCATAGTTGTTGAATTGAATTGAACTAGGCACAGATACACAAAGTAAGCCTAAGGTGTGTAGATAAAAGTCTGCCTGCTCCTTCTCCATCCCCTTTAATTACTCTTGTTTGTTTACTAGTTGAGAGCAATTATCTTAAATTAGGGACCCTCATAATGTAAATTACAGCACAGGCTTGCATGCAGTGAAGAGTTAGGTGCTCTTAAAAGGTTTACACATTTTCCAATTTTGATGAACAAGTAGCAGAGGTGGGACCAAGTCATCGATTTTCAAGTCTCATGTAAGTCTCAAATCTTTGGCCTCAAGTCCAAGTCAAGTCTCAAGTTGTCTGCTTTGAGCTTCAAGTCATTTCAAGTCTTTAAACCAAAGTACCAAATACAGCTTACATTTTTGCAATTGATATGCATTTTAAACAAAATTGGACTTAAAAAGTGATAGTATATTTCTATATGTGTATTTATAGGGTATATAAGAAATGTAGAAATGCAAACTTTTCCTTTTTAAATGTCTTGACACAATTTTAGAGTGAACCATTACAGCCTGAATAGAAGAATTTAGATTTAAAAGTGCTTCTCAAGTCTTCTCAAGTAGCAGGCCTCAAGTCAGTGTCAAGTCCCAAGTCATTGACCTTCAAGTCCAAGCCGAGTTCCAAGTCTTTTTAAGTCATTTTATCCAGTCAAGTCTCAAGTCCTAAAAATAGTGACTCAAGTCACGACTTGCAAGTCCCAACCTCTGACAATGAATTATTTTAAATAGCAATTTCAGTTTTCAGTTACACTGCATAGTACAACAATCTGCTCCTTTCATAAGATTTGTTATTTTAATTTTTTCAGTTTCAGTTATTTAAAATCCCTGTGCTGTTTCACAGATATTAAAAGGTGCATTTTGAAACTTTTCTGGTGGAGGGTTCGTCAATTGTTTTTGTCTGTTCAAGTTACAAGTCAGATCTGTGGAGTAGCAACTGCACATAGTCAGAATACTTGTTTTTAGGCATTTTGAGCTATACAATCACTTGTAATTTAATAAATGTAAGGTAGATTAATGTAATAACATAGCTATTTAATGTCATACTGTGGAACATTCTAGGCAGAGCAATGACATACCCGTAGAAACAAGCAGGTGACGGTCACCCAACCAAAAAGTTACTCAGTGCGCCTTTAAACAAATAAAGGAAAAAATAATACATAAATAAACAGGGTGGCATAACCTAACTTTACTTCTTGTATTGGTTTGCAGTTATAAATATATAAGTGTTGACCTGAAGTCTCACACTCTCCCACTGCGCTGAAGAGGTGCAAACAGCTCTGGCTCCTGTTCGCTGCTCTTTATAACATTGCAATTAAAGGGTCTTGTTGATGTAGCAGAGGCCGACCGCACAGCTGGCCTCACTGTAAATGTCACTGGGGGCCGCTGGGCTTATGCTTATGTCACTGTGGAGTCATCTGCTGACTAACTTGTTTTGCCTTCTTGCTCAAACACTGATGGATAAACAGGAAGCTCGGTGCAATGTTTTGTTATCACTTTTGCCCTCTGGTGTCTCAGTGGTAAGCGTTATTTCTTTAGTTGTTATTAAAATGCAATACCTTTTTCACATATTTTCCAAACAAAGTGTGCTTCATATTTGTGTTCTTCTATCTGGTGAGGATTTCTTGTTTTAGTTTACAAACTATTTATATACGTTTTTGTTTGAATTTTGTGTTTAGGTTCAGCACTGGTTAGGCCTTCTTTAGTTTAGTCTTTCTGCCTATATTTCTTGAAAATGTGTGCACTGGAAAGGAAGCAGTCCAAAATATACCATGGCCATTTATTCATATTGTAACAAACTGACATTTTGCTACTAAGATGGTGTATTGTGTGAGATTTTTCTCTGTTCGGCCTTGAAATAATTATGTACTCATTTAATTTAGTTCTTAGATTCTTAGCTCTGATTTCTTGGAGTCCTGGTTTACATACTGATCGATATGGTTCTTCGATTTGTGTATTTTTGACCTGGCGTGAACCTGAGTATATCTACCCCCCTGCGTCCAGTCTGCAGTGACAGGTCACATGTTCAGCCTATGTCATTTGTTATCATTAAGCAGCAGAGGGGCCACACACACGAGATACAACACATACACACCATCATTTATTACAGCTGACACATGGGAGAGCTCACATGGCCTAGATGCAAATATGGTGGTCACCCTCATACAGTCGATGTGGTTTAAGCCTGTACATACAATTAGTGGAATTTTTGGTCACCTCCAAGAAAGCATTACCATTCAACCACTGATTCTATTGGAAATAATATAATCGTAAAGGGCCTATATTACACAAAAATGACTCGTGAGCTTTAAGGCTTATTATAATCATACATCAAACATACATGGAGTTGTGTTTTATTTCATACACACATGTCTGAATCATTATTATTACTCTGTCTACATCTGCAAAGATCAAAATGCCCTGTTCCACCTTGTGATGTCATAAATAGGGATGTGCAAATATATCGGAATGTCGTTTAATGTGATGATACGGTTTCGATATCCTGGGCTGCTGTATCGTTATATCAGAGTATTTTTAGGTATGTTTTACTAAATTATTTTGTTACAGTGCTACAGTTTTGTTGCTTGTTGAGTGAAAGGAAACTCATTTATGCAACATATTTGACATTTTGACACTGTTTTGATGATTAAAATGTTTGTGTTTCATATGAACTTTGCACAAGAAGTTGTTCGACAAAGACTTTTAGTATCACAGCCATGAATTAGCCTTTATTTTTTTATTGAACTGTATCGAATCAATTTGAAATATATCATATCGAATCGAAAGTGCACTGTAGAGAGATATGTATCGTATCGTGGCCTGTGTATTGAGGTATGTATCGTATCGGCAACTTCTCAATGATGCCCATCACTAGTCATGAAGTGATAATATTCAAGTTAACAGTAAAGACTGACAATTATCCAAATGATTCTAGTGGAGGTGGATAACGTTTTAAAACACAGGAGCACTTTGTTACCACATGACATCACAAGGTGGAACCAAATGTTTCCTATGTGTGTTAAATGAAACAAAACTCCTGGAATGTTTTTTTTTTTTTTGATGAGGAAACATTATAACACATCAGAGAATAATGCAATGTGGGCCCTTTAACTTCATGTTTAATGCAATTTCAAAATGTAAAAATATTATTCTCACTGCATTCAAAGGTGTATGTGATTGGTTAGTGCTTCCAGATCTGTAGAGAGGCAACCCCGCTCACAGTCAGAATGTGTGTTTTTCTAGGATTTCTGAGCGATAAAACCACCTGTAATTGAATAAATGTAAGTTAGACCTGTTTAATGTCATACTTTGGAATATTCTAGGCAGAGCATCTCCATAGAAACAAGCAGGTGACAGACCCCCAACCAAAAAGTTGTCTTGTTTCATCTTAACATTTTTTAAAAGAGCTGGTTAGCCAATGGAATTGTGTTGTACTGGACTCACATACAAGAGAAAATAATGGGCTCTTTCCATGAGTTTTTCTCGCTCTGAAATCCCAACTTTGGTCAGTGCTGGGGGAATAAAGCACCCTTGAAACAATTTGGCTTCTCCTTGAAAACAACAATATTTTCATAAATCTGTCTCTTTCGTTCACTTTATTTTCCATCTCAAAGCTTGCTGTAATTTTCTTCTAGTGTCCAGTTTTCATTTCTAGTTCCAATTCCCGTACAACTCTCATCCTCTTATTTGGAGTTAAGACAGACCTGAAGAAGAATCTGCCTTGTGGACTATGACTGGGATATTGTGTCAAATATTATGGCTTGCTTTTGTCTAATCCTTCAAGGCATAGACATTGCAATAACAACATTTGCAATTATTTAGTCTTTTCGTCTATAACCCTTTCACATTTTGATAAATCCCAAACATGTGTCACCATTATGCAGTACTATATATTGCCCATGTCCACTCTGGCCTACACATAGGTTCTCCCTCCTTCTGTCAGAACACCTCTCATGTGCAGGGAGTGACAGGTATTCCTTGCTTGCTTCATTGGACGCTTTGCGCAGGGTGACAGCCAGTCAAAATGGCCGACAGCTCAGCGCACTCATCTGTGTCTGTGTGTGAGAGTGTGTTCAAGCAGCCTTCACTGTCAAGTATTCAGATCACTGGCAATCAGCAGCACAGGTCAGTGTTCACAATGCTTCTTTAAAAATTTAATTTAGTTGACAGACAGTGCACCCATGTGACTGCTCCCTGTAGCTGAGTTTAGCAAAGACAGGAATGTAAAAAAGCATTACAATTTTACATTAAATACTGAATTGTTATTCCAATTGTGTTTTTCTTCTGCTTGAATTGATGGAGCATGACATAGACGGGAGATAATGATTTGTATTGCATTTGTAGCTTTAATGGTTTCTTTCACTGTTGTCACCTTTAGCCACAAAGGGTCAGTAAAAGATGATATGACTAAGAAATTGTCACGAAGAGAAATTCCACAGCTAATAATTATAATGTCAAACATGTGGGAGTCTTTGCTACCTCACAAATGTGCGTAATGTAAATTGTTTTGAAGGTTGAAACTGATTAGTAGTATTACATCAGGAGCTGCAGGTAGTGTTGTCATGATACAAAAATTTCAAACTCAATTTCCATACTATGAATAGACTTGACACTGATACCAATTTTGATATCCAAATGATCACTTTGAAAGCTCTTTTGTGGATAATAGTGTACATTTTCATAATTAATAATAAAAGTATTTTCTTTATGTTACCATGTGGTTTTATACTAGTTCTGATCAGTGTAAGATTGTTCAGGAAAGGTCAAATTT